ACAAAGGAAAGGTAAGACTCGAAAAATTCGATGGTGCAGATTTTGGGTTTTGGAAGATGCAGATTTTGGGTTTTGGAAGATGCAGATTGAAGATTATTTATACTAGAAAAAGCTTTATGAACCTCTTTCGGAAAAAAAAGCCAGAGGGTATGAAAGATGAAGATTGGAATATTCTAGATAGACAAGCCCTTGGAGTTATTCGGCTAACTTTATCACGCAATGTTGCTTTTAATATAGCAAAGGAAAAGACCACGGCAGGTCTGATGAAAGCTCTCTCTAGTATGTATGAGATGCCATTGGCTTCTGATAAAGTTCATTTAATGAGGCGGTTATTCAATTTGCGGATGACAGATGGTGGGTTGGTAGCTCATCAACATCTTAATGAACTCAATTCAATCACAACCCAATTGAGTTCAGTCAAAATTGATTTTGAAGATGAAGTTCGAGCATTGATACTTTTGTCTTCATTACCAGATAGCTGGAATGCTACAGTCATAGTCGTAAGTAGCTCGTCGGGAAGCAATAAATTGAAATTTGACGATGTTCGTGACCTAGTTCTCAGTGAACAGATCCGACGGAGAGAGTCGAGTGAATCATCAACCTCTTCAATTTTACATACAGAGTTAAGAGGAAGAAATTCAACCAAAAGAAACGAACGTGGAAGATCAAGCTATCGAGGTAAATCCAGATATTGAAGATCAAAATCAAGGAGTCCCAATAATTCTCAGAACTCGAAGTCCATTGAGTGTTGGAATTGTGGGAAGACAGGGCATTATAAAAATCAGTGCAGGAGTACACCGAAAAACCAAGAAGTAAAGGCAGAGGCAAATGTTACATCTACCGTATAAGGAGATGATGCATTCATATGCTCTTTAGAGAGCAAGGAAGAATCTTGGGTGTTAGATTCTTGAGCATCATTCCACGCTACTTCAAAGAAAGAATTCTTTGAGAAGTATGTCCCTGGAAACCTTGGAAAAGTATACCTTGGAGATGACCAACCTTGTGATATTGTTGGTAAAGGTGTAATGAAGATAAAGTTAAATAGGTTAGTTTAGGAGCTGAAGAATGTCAGGCATATTCCCGATCTAAGAAAGAACTTGATTTCAGTTGGGCAGTTGGCCACCGAAGGCTACACTACAAACTTCCAAGATGACGATTGGAAGATTTCAAAGGGAGCAATTACAATTGCTCATGGTAAAAAGAGTGGTACTCTTTACATGACATCAAGGGCGTGTTGTTCAGTTTCAGTTGCAGTAGGAAATGAATACTCCAAATTGTGGCACCAAAGACTTGGCCACATGAGTGAGAAAGGGATGAAACTAATGCATTCTAAAGGGAAATTCCGAAGTCTTAAATCTATTGATATGGAAATGTGTGAAGAATGCATACTTGGAAAGCAGAAGAGGGTAAGCTTTCAAACTAGTGGTAGAACCCCAAAGAAGGAAAAGTTGGAGCTTGTTCACTCCAATGTTTGGGGTCTAACAACTACTTCATCTATCGATGGAAAACACTACTTTGTCACTTTTATCGATGATCACTCCCGGAAGGTATGGGTTTACTTCCTAAAACAAAAATCTGAAGTGTTTGAAACTTTCAAGCGATGGAAAGCAATGGTGGAAAATGAAACAGGTCTGAAGATTAAAAAGTTCATAACCGACAATGGTGGTGAATATGAAGACACCACATTCAAGAAGTTTTGCTATGAGCATGGGATCAAGATGGAGAGAACAGTGCCGGGTACACCACAACATAATGGTGTAGCTGAGCGTATGAATCGAACGTTGACAGAAAGAGCTAGAAGCATTCGTATACAGCTAGGTTTACCGAAGCAGTTTTAGGCAGTCAACACAACAAATTACTTGATCAACCGAGGACCATCAACTTTATTAGACTATAAAATACCAAAGGAGGTATGGACTGGAAAAGATATAAATTTGTCTCACTTAAAGTTTTTTGGTTATGTAGCATATGTGCATATTAGTGATCAAGGCAGGAATAAGCTTGATTTTAAATCTAAGAAATGTTCTTTCATTGGCTATGGCGAAGATGAGTTTGGATACCGCATATGGGATGATGAAAATAAAAAGGTGATCCGTACTAGAGATGTGATTTTCAATGAAAGAGTCATGTACAAGGATAGACACAAAATTGAAACTAGTGACTCAGTGCAGAGTGGGCCGATGTTTGTAGATGAAGATTATATCCCCGATAGAATGGTGAAAGACTTACCTGTAAGAGAACCTCAACAAGAAGAATCTGTTGGACAGATCCTTACACCACAATCCAACATGCCACAAACTTCTAGTCCAGCACCAGTATTGAGAAGGACTACTCGTCCACATGTACCAAACAGAAAATACGTGAATTATCTGTTATTGACTGATGAAGGGGAACCTGAATGCTATAATGAAGCATGTCAGGTAAGTGATGCTAGGAAGTGGGAGCTTGCAATGAAAGATGAGATGAATTCTTTGATTTTAAACCAGACATGCGAATTAACTGAGTTACCCTTGGGTAAAAAGGCACTTCACAACAAATGGGTATATCGAGTGAAAAAGGAGCATGATGGTTCCAAGAGATACAAAGCTCGATTAGTAGTTAATGGATTCCAACAAAAAGGAGTTGACTACATTGAGATTTTTAAACCTGTTGTGAAACTTAATACCATTAGAACAGTGTTGAGTATTGTTGCCATTGAAAATCTTCATCTTGAGCAATTAGATGTGAAGACTGCATTTCTTCATGGAGATCTGGATGAGGATATTTACATGCATCAACCAGAAGGTTTCTTAGAAAATGGGAAAGAAAATATGGTATGCAAACTTAAGAAAAGTTTGTATGGCCTAAAACTAGCCCCGAGATAGTGGTACAAACAGTTTGATAACTTTATGCACAAGGAAGATTTCCCCAAAAGTGCAATGCTGATCACTATTGCTACATCAAGAGATATCAATCCAGTTATATCATTCTACTATGTCGATGATATGTTAGTAGCAGGTTCAAATATGGATGATATAAGAAGGCTAAAGGAGCAATTGTCAAAGGAATTTGACATGAAGGACTTGGGTCCAGCAAAGAAAATTCTTAGAATGCAAATTACAAGGGATAAGCATAAAGGTACTTTGCAATTATCTCAATCAGAATATACCAAACGTGTTTTACAAAGATTTAATATGAGTGATGCCAAGCCACTTAGTACACCCTTGGCAAGTCACTTTCGATTATCCAAGGATCAATCTCCTCAGACGGAGGAAGATAATGATTATATGGCTAAGGTTCCATATGCCTCAGCCATTGGTAGTTTGATGTATGCAATGGTTTGTACAAGACCGGATATTGGACATGCAGTGGGAGTTGTTAGCAGGTTTATGTCAAATCCAGGAAAAATTCATTGGGAAGCAGTGAAGTGGATTTTGAGGTATCTACGAGGTACTACAGAACAATGCTTGTACTTTGGTAAAGGTGATTTAACAGTACAAGGTTATGTCGATGCAGACTTTGGAGGAGAAGTCGGTCGTCGTAAAAGCACCACAGGTTATATATTCATGGTTGGAAATACAACGGTTAGTTGGATGTCGCAACTACAAAAGATTGTCGCTCTATCCACTACAGAGGCTGAATATGTAGCGGTAACCGAAGCTAGTAAGGAGATGATATGGCTTTAAGGTTTGTTAACTGAATTGGGATTCAAGCAAGAGAATAATGTATTGTATTGTGACTGTCAAAGTGCAATACACTTGGCAAAGAATTCAGCATTTCATTCTAGAACTAAGCATATTGGACTTCGCTATCATTTCATAAGATCTCTATTAGAAGATGAAGTGTTAAAATTGGAGAAAATTAAAGGAACTAAGAATCCGGTAGATATGTTAACAAAGACGGCGACTATTGACAAACTGAAGTTGTGTTCAACTTTAGTTGGCCTACATAAGTAACATACGAGAAAGTTGAGCTGCATGAAGTAAGGTGTGAAGACAAATTAAAATTAGTCTTCAAGTGGGAGATTGTTAAGATCACCACAATTTAAAAAAGGAAAACAAATATAAGTCTTAGAATTTCTTAGCAATACGTGAATGATTTCCTACAAAATGTGAAGGACAAAATAGTTTTCTTAATTTAAGAAGTCATATTTAGAAATATAGGATCTATATACACTTAAGTTATGATTTGTTATATTCATCCGAAAAACAAAAGAAAACATAAAGCAGAGAGAGAAGCTTTAAGAGAATTTTTTAGAAAAAATTCTCAGGTGTGATTGCGGTGCATATGGTTGCGAGTTATAATAAGTGTTGTACACTTGTGTATTATTTATCTTTTTCATAAATTTTGCAACATAATTAGAGATACAAATATTTGTTCATTTATTTGTATTATTCATATATATTTTTTTATTCCCACTAATCTGATTCTAAAGGGAATTTGCATAGTATTTCCTAACATAGATATTGAGGATAATAATTACTCGTACAATATGTTTCATATTGTTGTTAATATCCCATAAATTTTGAATTGAAATCCACTTATTTCTAAATAATAAATGGCAACATCATCATCGTTATCGACTCCGTTCATTGGTTAATCTATGGTGTGAAATTTCTTGGCATTTGATTAACTTACCATGTGATGATTATGGTTTGAATTGTTGATTTTAATGGTGAATCGTCACTATCTCTGTGCTTTTATTAATCAATTTCTAATTTACTTTTTTTAAACTTAAATAAAATCTTCGGCTTTATACTAACAAAGGGAAGTATTCACGAAATTTATTAGATACTACGAAATTTAGTACATATTCTACGAAATATTACAACCTTGTGGCTGTAGTTTAGTGGTAAGAATTCCACGTTGTGGCCGTGGAGACCTGGGCTCGAATCCCAGCAGCCACATTTTTTGCTCTTGAATAAAGTTCATAAATATAGATCTCATAAAAGAATTTGACGTTTATTTAGGGACAAATGAAGTATCAACTTTTGTTGAAGTGCTACAATATGGAAGGATGAGACGAATGGAGTATTATTTAGTGAAAAAACATACGAGTGTATTATTTTCCTAGAAGGCTAGGGATAAGGGCGCCATGCCGCCATCGACACCATGCCTAGGGAGTTTGAAGGATGGGCCAGTACACTTCTGTTCTTTTAACCTAAAATTAGGTAAATCTTGGCTGATTCCGAAGACATATGGTGCTCCAACCAGCATAGAGCAATGTACTTTTGACAGTTTCACATGCACTACACATACCCAGCTTCAATCCAGACATGTGATGCTCAAGCACCGAAAGTACGTGGCTCTTCCACTCCTCACCGTAACAATTATGACAGGAATACTCTACTCTTATAATTCGAGGTACACCAATTGAGCCACACTACACCCTCTCCTACGAAAGGCTTGTGCACCCTTGTCCATAGTCCATACAAGGACAAATCGTTTCAAACCCCTCCAGAACCCTCTTCCACAACCGCATCCGAGATGATGTTCCACTGGCTTCAAATATACACAAGAACGCAAACTATATAACCCAGTGCCCATGACTTTCAGTTAGGGCTGAGTGTCATTTAAAATGTAATCAGAACAAAAAGACTGGTGCACTATGATCCAGCATTAAAGATAAAAACTTGTAAAAATACTGGATGCTACTGCAAGTACAAAACTCCTAAAAGTAAGTGCTCTATACAACAGACATGCAATATAGCATCAAGAAACGGACTAGGAGATACAAAGTGGATACATGAACCAGAGGTGCAAATCTTGAGGGACAAGACTCAGTAGTCAGGGATGGCTGCAAAACGGTAGCCGGCAGCACCTCTCCATGAATAATATGCAATCCGAGTCTCGTAGAAGCCTGCACCAACAATTTAAAACAGAACAATATTAAACAAAACAAAGCCACGAGGAAGAAATTTGAAATGAAAAACCCTTAACATTTACTAACCATAATCCTGTACAAATGCTGCATAAAATCAAAAGAGTAGTACATTTGCAATCACATAAAAGGCTCATCCTGTTCTCCTACACCCACCCCTTATACTTCCTTGGATGGGGAAGTCATGAAACTTTTGTCGTGTCCAAAAGTATAAATCTTTTTTTTTTAAGGCAAATATTTAAAAAATGTGAAGTGACAATAATTCAAATCTGTAAAAGTTCTTGTCGCCTGTTCCTTCTGTGTATGCTGCGGAGGAATTCAAGGGCCGAACAGGGGTGAACCAGAACCAGGCCTTTTATCCCATATTAGTTCAAAAACTCATGCATATACGTCCAACTCTATCTCAGATTTAGCTCCAGGATCACTAATACAATCCCAGAATCCCCTTTCCTTAAGATGAACAAAAAAACACTAGCAAAAAGAATCACAAGATAAGAAAAACACCAGTTGAAACCATTGCTGCTGCATTTTTTTGGGTAATTCTATTCATGCTTGTATGGGAGTGGCAACATGGATCCTTCCTTGACAACCTAACCTACCAGCCAAAAGGCCTTAAAGTAAAATATCAAAAATAATTATGAAAGGGGATAAATCTGAGTTAATAAAGATCTAGCCAAGTTGACTGTTATTAACACGTCTAACAGTCAGCATCTGAATTATGCTAGGGTGACTTTGCAGTTCAATTGCAACAATTACAACATCATTGCCCCAATACTTCTAGTACAGATCCAGCTCTAAGCAGGGTAAAGGCAGGTTTGGATCTACGTAGCCTTACCCTGCTAAAATAGAGAAGCTACTATGGGCAATGGACACCAGCAAGCAGCCTCAAAAGATCATTTTAAAGAGCAAAGATACTGGCTGGAGAAGTAGGCAGCAGTCACCACTTAGAAACATTTGAAAGAGAAGTTGATATCATAGGCTAAAACTAGAAATTATATCATAAATCATTGGTTACTGTTTTGCTACTGCTACAAATTAGGACTTAAAGCATACATCATACTTTATTTAACTTTCTTTAATTCTGGATTCCTTAGACAAAAAAATAGAACCTCATGTGGAATCCATAAAGAGATGACTTATATATGATGTAACCATGAAAACCAAAAAATGAAAGAACAAGAATGATTCTCTTATTTTAATACATAAATACTTCATAAAATACTGTACTTTAGCAAAAGGAAGTGATTAGACAAAAAATACAGGGGGTGAGGGAGAAAACTCTTTATGAATACCTGGAAGAAAGGAAAGAATTCCAAGTGCAAGGAGACCATATGCTTGAGACCGCTCCCCTCCCATATGACCAGTGAAAATGAAAAAAGATAGAAAGAGAAGAAATGAACCAAGGAAGAGAAGGAACAGTGCGAGAATAATTGATTTCCATGGAACTTTGTCAAGACACTTCGGTGTGTAATCAAACCGAGGATCAAATGGTTTTCCCTTTATATGGCCATCATCATTGTAATCGTTTACTCCATCTTCATCAGTGGCAAGGTGAGAGTATTTCACATTGCGCCTTGATGCCATTAAAGCACACCAAATATGCAGGAGTTATGAAATATTTGAAATATGCAGCTAAACTTACAGCCTCCCAAACTCCACTTGATTTGCAATTTCCTGATAAAAAAACCAAAATTAGCTGACAAGCCTTTGGTGCCCATTTAATACTTTCGCTATCCAGAAATAGTCATCACATTGTCCCAAATCATCAAACTAAAGGAGCTAATAAGATTCTACAAAAAGAAACATGGAATAGCTTTATAACTCACACCACAACCCCTCTTCATTCCAATTGGAAGTTCCAAACATGATCCACTATTGTTCTAAAAAATGTGACAGCATGATCTAGATATCTCAAAATAATACAATATGTGACTTATTTTCGGACAGAAGGTTCAAGGTATACCTTCTTACTAGTTAGTATCAAATAAAAGAATTAACAAACCAAATAAATACAAATGATATCCAAAACAAAGCACTTTTTGTACTTTGTATAAGCAAACCTTACAAAGTACCACGCTTTTCGATGATTTCATATTTAGAAAAAAAAAAATTATCCTCTAGGAGCAACTTATATTTATTTACCAAAAACTGAATCATAACAACATATGTACTAAGTGCTTCAGGAAAAAAAGTCATGTCCAAAAGATGATTTCTATAGCAAAAGACGATTCTACTTTAAGAAGCAAAGAAGTTTTTATCAAAGAAGTTTTAATCTTCAGTAGTACATTTACAACTTTGGAATGATGGGGGCTCATCATGTGAAAACCTACTTCTCTAAGGCTTCGTTTGTTTTGTTGAAAATAATTTTCTCATATTCCGCTCTTTGGTTTATAAAGGGTTGAAAACAATTTCACCAAAGGTAGAAAATGGACTTTCCAAGATTTAAAAACATGTTCCTTTCGAAAGGAAAGAATTTCACAGACTCCTTCCTACTGCTAACATCCCTTTCCTCTCCTACTATCCATCTTCTCCCTTGCACCATTTTTCTCTTCCTGTATAATTTTTCTTGTAAGGAACTAGCAAAAGAAAACTTTTTTTTATATTTATTCTTACCTTGAAAAGTGTTTTTCATAATCATTTTCCCAAAATATGTTTTATGTCAAAACAAACAAAGCCTAACTTGTGAGAGCATAGATTGTTATTGGCATTAGCTAGGTGTTGTTGCTTTGAGTTACTCATAAGAAAGAACAATAGGCTTAATTAGAATGCTATTAGAGATCAGAACATACACCTCATCACAAACTCTAAAACAGCTTCAACCAATTTAAAATAGCAAAATTCATCCAATTTGTTATACTCTCAACATCTAGGTCATGATGGTCTAACACACTAAAAATTGGGCATCTCAACGAAAATATAAAAGAACAGCTAGAGAACTAAGTAGCATACCATCAATGAATGTTAGTCCAATGTTCTGACGATTTACTAATTCTCACATTCCCACTCTATTCATAAACTTCCCTCGTCCAGAAAGAAGTCACATCCAAAAGCGGGCGTTAGGAAACTTGTAGAATTTCCTAAAATACCAAGAGACTATTAACCCAATTTCCTAAAATACCAAGATACAGTTAACTTCCAGTGATAACCTTGTATATTATGTCTCAATTGGAATGTTGAAGAAGAAAGAGGGCGAGAGGGACACAACTAATACAAATGGTACTTCAATAAATGAGTTGGTCTGGACTGAGTGAGTAAAATTCCTGTGAATCTCCTCGAATCCATTCTCTTGGTATCAAAGCACACAACAGCTTAAGTACTTTAATAAGCCATTGATATAATCATATATATCCTCCAAAATAATAAAATTTGTATTCCATCAATGGATTCACAGAAATCAAAATACCCTCAACAACATCAGATACTCAAACAACTCCTGTAACGGATCCTTCGTTTCATACAATTAGTACAGTTGGTGAAATTATCACTCAGCTCGCAATGGTATAAATTATTGTCTTAACACCAACAAGTAACCTAGATTTCTACATCGAAATTTAGAAACTTAGAACCTAAATTTGCTCCAAATTCACACTTACAAGCTCAAAAAATAAAATAAAATAAAGCAATTATGCTGTGAACTCATCTCTTCATGCTGCTGCACCACTATGATTTAAACATATAGTTGAAACAATCAATTACATAAAAACTTCAACATTTCCGCTAGATTTAGAAAGATTTTAACAATCAAATAATTTGTTGAGAAAACATAAACGTTAGCCTCATATATTACTGAAATCAAGAAATTGAGGATGAACACAATTCCAAAACAAATCAAATTCCAATTTCGAAATCAATTTGAAAAGTTAAAACCCTAAAAAAATTCAGAGAAAATTAGAACAAACAACAAAATAATCAGAAAATAGAGCAATTCAAAGACAAAATTCGAGTGCGATAATAGATAAAAATTGATGAAATTTTGAATATATACCTGACACTAGAAGAACTAATGTGAATCAAGAAGATTGTGCAATACTGCAATTAGAATGGAATTTCCTGTCTGCCCGCCAAGAGTAAGACTGATAATTCGGCAGTATTGAGTATTGACTTTTCTTTTCTCTTTTATAACAAGAACATCATATGCCGAAAACGGCAATACTTCATTTTATTACTTGCTCCAATTCTCGATGCAAATATTTGATCAGTAATAAATAAGTATAAATTATAACGAAAATTAATAATCTATTCACTAAAACGATTCCAATAAGTATCCACATGACCATATTTTTTCTGATTTATAAATAACAAATATTAGTCAAAAACTCAAAATAGGTTAAATGAATAGTGCAAAAATTGTAAACGAAACAAGTAAAAATGTGGAGAGAGTACAACAAAACACTCAAGACAACGACAACTACATTAAGTGGCTGCAAGTCGCATTTAGTTGATTTCCTACAAAAACACATTGTTTATTTAACAGCAATTACATATTGTTTATTTTTTATATATTGAATTTGATCAATTATTTTAAGAACTAAAAAAAATAGAGTATATTGGGTCGAATGTATAATAATTCCTTTCGGACTCATTCGTTTTTCATTTATTGCAATAGAATTGAAACGTTTCTTATATATATATATATATATATATATATATATATATATATATATATATATATATATATATATATATATATATATGTTAAGATCAGGTTAGACCACTATATTAGACAAAATCTAAATGAGGGAGCCTGGATTTCACTTAAAAAGTAGATAATGAGAAATATAAATATGGAATCGAGATTATTTGGTAAAAACATAAAAGGTTGCTCTTTACAATTTAAAGGAAACTAAACAAAGGAACTTACTTACCTGTAGTTTGTACTTTGTATAACCAAACAACATTGTGCAATTAGATATATAACACCAAAAAAACAATACGGAGTAATAGGTATATAAGACAAATAAACTTGCTCAACTGTAAAAAATAATTAACCTTCAACTTAATTGGGAGGGAAAATATTCAATTGGTTGCAAAATCTATGGGTGAAATACAGAGGTGTCAGTTCAAGTTATCGATTAGGTTCAAGTCATGTCTCGTCGGATTTGAGTTATGCTAAGTTATTGTAACCATGTAGATCAAATCCTATATCGAGTCATTTCGTGTTATGTTAGGCTATTTCGAGTTAGGATCAATTTTTGACACCTTCGTGATGATGAAGTTAGATTAAGGTTGCTTACATTTTTTTGTGGCTGAGTAATGTTTCAGACATTTATTAACAGTCACATTTTTGCTTGAGAGGACATTAGTTTATAGTGAATAACTGAATAGGAAAATTTGCCAAGAATAATACCACCTTTCATCGGTATTCCAATAATAGAACCACCTTTAGATTATCTCAAAATAACACGACCTTTGACACACATCTTCTATAAATAGAACGAGACCTGTTGGTAACCTGTTTAATAGGTTACTTGTGACATGTGTCACAATGTGATTAGTCTTTTTTTTTATATCAATTTTCCATTTTTTAAAATAGCCCCCCTAATCGGAAACCACCAGCGTGGGGCCCCCTCTTTTCCCCCGTCTCGTCCTCATCCGCGTTTCCGGCCCCCTCCCCTCTCCATCCTCGATTCCGGTCTCCCTACCCCGTCCCCGATTTCGGTCCCCCTTCCCTACCTTGTTCCCGATTCTGAACCCCCTCCCTTCCCTACCCAGATTTCGACACCCCCCCCTCCCCTTCACGCAAGCTTTCTCTTTCTATTTCGGTTGGTAGGGGATAAGGTTTCGATCTCTCTTTCTTTCCCGGCAGGTGGTTGAAAAGATTTTAATCTCTCTCAATTTTCCAGTAAGTGAGGGAAATGGTTTGGGAGGCGATTTCGAGGGCAGAGTGGTGGTTTTAAGGCGGTTTCAAGGGCAGGGCGATGATTTTGAGATAGTTTTAAGGGCGAGGCGGTGGCTTTGAGGCGATTTCGAGGGTTTGGGTGGGGATACGTGGCTGTTCGAGTGTGGGGGTGGGATAGAGGGCAGTTTCGAGGGTGAGGCTGTGGAGGGGGGGTTGTTCTCGGTGAGTGGTAGGCTAACAGGGGAGGATCTGAACAGGGAGGCCGGGGGAGGGGGAAAGGGGAGTGGAGGTGGAGGGGGGCTGCTGAACAGGAAGATGGTTTTTTATTTATTTAAATTTAAGGTTTTTCTATTAAAAAAATTAACAAATTACAACGCGACACGTGTCCAATGTAACCTATTAAACAGGTTACCGGTTTTTTGTTCTATTTATAGAAGATGTATGTCAAAGGTCGTGTTATTTTGAGATAATCCAAAGGTGGTTCTATTATTGGAAGACCGGTGAAAGGTGGTATTATTCTTGGCAAATTTTCCGAACTGAATATGAACCCTAAGGTAGGGATGGCCATTTATTTACAGTGAATGGAGCACAGGTGCTTTACAATAACTTCAGCAAATACTACGTATTACAAAATGGAAAAGAATCATACAAGCTTTACATGAAGCTAAACAAAATGGAAATAAAATACATATATATTAATTGAAATCAAACTCAACATTACAATTTCGCCCCGTTGCAAATAAAGATGGTACAACACCTAGTTAGCAAAATCTTAAAATTACAGCCTTGATGTGAGTTGATGCAAATTTGATAGCAAAAAAGGGCTAAATCTAGGGCAAATTTTGGCTCTAAATAACAAGTCAGCAAGTTAGTGGAAAAGTTTTCAAGGAAATTTAACAAGGATGTAATAAGAGATGGATACACAACACCCAGCAAGGAAGGTGCACCAACAACACATATAGATAAGTTGCGCTATTCCATAGCCAAAGTGACTCAGCCCAGGTCCAAAAATCACCGATGTTGATACTACTGAATCCTTCAGACAAGCCTTTTATCACAAAGAAAGTAAATGGTGGAAACAAGGACAACCCTAAGACTATATTGCAAGCAATTCTGGAGAAAGCTTTCAGGCTCAGGTTTTGCATGTCTAGTTTTAAGGGCTGAGCCATCAAACAGAATGGCACCAACAATAATGCCCCGATTTCTGCAGCTGCAAAGTTCACTACAGACATGAGAGACAAACCGATGAAAGCTGCTGAGATCATCACAGATTTCAAGACAGCCCATTCTTGTTTATGCAGGTCTGATAGCTTGAAGCTGGAGTAAGGTGAGCCGAAGACCATGTAAAAGATTTGAAGGCTAGCTAATGACAGCAAAATCCAGGAAATACTGCATGTAGTTGATGTCCTGTTGGGTATTTGACAAACTACATAGGGAAGTAATGCTACAACAGCTGCCCATATATGTATAACAAACACAGATTTTGCTGCGTGAAGCCACCTCCATGAAGTACCAGATTTTTTCATCATATCAGATGAGCTACCGCTTGCAGAAGATTTTACCATGTCAGACTTAGGATGACATGTGACAGCATCAGAATATAGAGAAGCAGCAACAACCGGTAAGGGTGCAAGAAGGAGTGCAAAAGCAATCATGTAAACTCCTACTGAAACAAACTTGCTGGGCCCAGTTAGAAGGTAGAGAAAAAAGGACTGGTGAAATTTTTCAAGTAGGTTGTTTACTGATCTAATTGTGCCTTCGATCAGCCTGCATTAAGAAAGAAGACAATAAGACATTGAGCAACAGATTTTTTTTTCATATCATTCTTAAATTTTAACTGGAAAGTCGCTGCAACAGGCTTGAAATTTAGTTTTGTCAAGTAATTTTAAATTTCTGCTCTCTAAATACAACAGGTTCTTAACTCAAATTTATAAACAAAATATTTAAATAAATGCATCACACCTAAACTTGTTTTTGAAGACTTCCTGTACTAGACTTTTGAAAAACAATTCCCCACACTGTTCCATGCTATTTTGTGTTAGTGTGCGGTGTGCCCAACATTGGTATTTATAAAGTGAGATCAGACTCAGAACCATCAACTTCTCTCTCTAGGGCCTTTTGTGACTAGGATGCCTAAAATATCTACTTGTTCTTGGTTGACTTCATTACCATTTAGGTCCACAAGGTTGAGCTGATTGGCTCAAAATAAGGCGAAGGCGCAATAGTGATCAAAAGAAGCCATGCAATTATGGCAAGGAGATCGACATTCTGACAACAACAACAACAACAACAACAACAACAACAACAACAACAACAACAAGAAGATAGCCTGACTGGAGATTTACGGGACAAAGAAGCTTAACTTCAATGACAAACTGGAGGGTCTAGAAGAAGTGGCCAAAACCTGCCACAGGGCTCTTTGTTCCATTCTGTTCTAAGACACCATCTCAGCAATATAAACCTCACCACGATTAAATGCTGGGAGTGTATGAGGATGAAATCAAATTTGCTGATGCATTATATTATGATGAATTTATAAATCTGGAATTTTGTTTGGATTGAGAACGTAAGACAGAACGGTTCCTTGACTTCAAGGACTTGGATTAACCAAAAGGATACAATTACACAGCATTAAAGTTCGAATATATTGCAGTCTTGGGACAAACATAAAAAAAGCCCCATAAGCAACTTGTTCCACGCGCATAAAGGCAAAATCTTTACAATCAAATTGACTAATTGCAGCAATGAGCTACAAATGTAGCCAAATATGCAGATTTTGATTAATTCAAAATATCTACTGAATTGCAAGAAATAAAACAATATATGTCTTGAATTTTGACAGGATTAAACATTTTGAAAGCTAAAAATTCTAGAAGCCGTGCTTGCTAGTCATTTGCTAAAGTTTGGTTACTTCAGGTGATAAAGTTAAAAACTAACAAAAAGGCATGAAAGCAAAGCTAAAGGCATTTTTTTACCAAAACAGTCAAGAGGTGGTTTTAATTTTTCTAACAAACAAAGACATAAACCTTCAAGTTGTAAATTTCAAGAATATGAAAAAATAATTGGTCCCAACAAAGTAAATTAGCTTCAAGATTACCAAAAGCACTTCCCGAACAAAAGGATTTGACTATAGAGATGGTGAGATTGCCAGATTGTTGATATTATGAAGGGAAAAAAAGAGGATTACAATGAAAATGAGGTGGAAGGAGATCTTAGAGAAATTTGAAGCTTAATTTTGTGAAGGAGATGCAAGACATCAGTTCAAGGAGATCTAAAGTCTTCAATGGAAAATCATATTCAGGGTGTTAAATTGGCGGGAAAACTTAAAAGTCTCGTAATAGATAGTGAGAACTTCACATACTATTTTATCATTACTATGACACATCCTAAGCTACAATAGTTAGATAGTGAGAATAAGGTGGAAGTCAAGAGGCAATCCTGGATTAATTTTGGTGTGCAGACAAAGACAAGGTTTTGTGTGATGTGACACCAATGAATGCTTGTAACCTTCTTCTGGGCCAGTTGTAGCAATTAGATAGGGATGTCATGGTTGCAGAAAGGCAAGCACTTACTCCTTAGAGCATCAAGGCAAGAAAGTTACGTCATATCCTATGAAGCCTACAGATCAACAACAATTGAGACAAAAGGGGAAGAAAATACGCTTTTCTTTGCGTTGCAGTAGTTACTGTGGGAGATACATTTGGGTAAACTTGAACATTTTTCAGCACAAAAACAAGAATGCAAGTCCATCTTCTTAATAGCTAAACAAACTCAGAAATAATAAAGTTAAAGGAAAAACAAAATGTACGAAGCTGAACTATCTCTTGAAAGCCACAAACAGTATATATTTGGTAAGACAAGTGAATTAGGGGCTGTTTTTTACTGCAAAGTTATAAAGCAGATCTTAGCTTTCAAGGCCAAATTATTTCCAATAGTAGAATGATGTGCTTGCATTTACATCTCTTAAGACTCAATTCCTTAGACTGCTCTATGGCTAATATCTGTTGATGATTTAAACACTGAGGACAATTAGGTATTTCCGTATATGGGTGGAAGATTTAAATCGGGTTCTGGCATGGAGATTCAATAATTGGGCTGCCAAGCATATTCATGTGTTTAATGAGGCTGACACGGACATGCCGGGTCTCACATGATCATACAGTAGGTCTAGTAAGCATTTTGAGCTAGGTTCACAGAAAGTTTTCGGTATTATAATTGCAGACTTGGCCAAGTTATATTTAAGAATTAGAAAACAAAATCGGGTCAATCGGGGTCCGTTTGGTATCACTGTGGTTTTCTGTTTTTTGGTTTTTTGTTTTTCAAAATAATATGATATATGTCATATAATGAATCAAAAATTGGTCAAACTTATTAAAATCATGATAATTTTGAAAACTGACAACAACAAAATGATGCCAAAATTAGATTCAGTTGTAACTGATTCTAGACATTCTTTAATTTTTTACTTTAGATGGGTTTCCCATCTCTGTTAGGCATCTAATACCATACCCATGTAAGTCTAGCTTACTATTTCTCAATGAGTATGACTAGTAACTTAGTAAAAGCTAAGATTATTTTTTAGAGTGAAGTTATGGAGCCCTAGCATTAGTGAGTGAAGTGAGCGTAAGCTTTATCTCTAGAAGAATTTAATTAGGTAAGTAGAAACATTCTTAAACATTCTGTGCCCCAATCAGAATTTCAGGAGAATAAAATCTTGATATTATGATTGGTTTTACACCTTCTCGAATAAATTATTATCTGAGACAGTATTACCAAATTTTTCGACGTCCCCAAGCATCTTGCATATCAGTCTAATTTAAATGTAGTAATATTGCTGGCCAAAGCAAGGGCTGAATTTTATATGAAGGCAGGGACACATCACTATTTTTTATTCTAAACTTCACTTGATGGCACACAACAGAAGGAATCGGAGAGGGAGGGTAGAAGAGAGTAGTAAGCACAAAAGCTCAGCAGGCAGCTCCAACAAGGAACAACATGTGCAGTTTCAGATGAAGACCAACAGTTGGAAAAAACCACTAAACACTTGTCTGGGCTCTCAATCAGGTATCAGATGTATATTGACGAAAAATTGGAATTCAGCTTCAGCAAAGTGATTTATTCTCAAAAACCCAAAGCAGCTGGCAGTGTCACTTGAGCTAATATATTCAAATTTCAAAAGGATGTAATATACATGGATTTTTTTAGGTTCCATTCATCTCACATGCTAAGCACCAAATATGGACCTATATGTCGTCAGCTTAAAAAACTAGCAAGAATAGTTGAATGGTCATCCAGCTTTAGGAATATAATTTCAATGTTGGCAAAAGCACGCCTATTCTATTCGAGGACAAGAAGGCTTGAACCACTTGAACATCTATAGCAGCAGACATCAAGCTTGAACAGTTAACGGATTGTATGTCAGTCATGCCTTTTAACTGTTTAAAATATAATTTGAAGCAAACCACAAACTGCAAATCACAAACCACTTGTCCAGGATCTTTGGGTCCTCAGTTTTACGAGCTTGCTAACCCAGTGAAGCTGTAGTCCGGCTTAATTAAAATAATTTGCATTGAATTTGCACAACTATTCAATACAGAACACTACAGCAAGAATTACAACTTTTACCAGGCATTCAGCATTTTGTTTCCAGCAAAGCAATAGAAGATTTTTCAAAAAGCCTATCTTAATTAGTTGTCAACCAGAGCACTCCACTAAAATAACATTCAACTGGGGTAAAAAAGAATAAAATTAGGGCAAAGAGTTGTAGAAACACATTACCGGCCACTCCGTAATAGAAAGTCACTTCGCTTTCCCTTGTTATATGGTGAGGCTTTGGGAGCAATCGCCAATGTGACAGCATCAATTTGATAATCACGGAATGCACCATGGGAACCGGTTGGAACACCTAACGCCTTATTATAAGAATGATAACAACAAGGAAAGATAAGTAACAAGACCAACAAGTAACATAATATAAATGACAAATGATTAGTCTGCTGGACACACAAAAACCCACGGCCAGATGGATGGTGTAGGAAGAAAGGGAAAACAAAACGAAGAATAAAAAGAAAGCGGGGAGTCACCTGAGCATATAATGAACTAGTAAGGGTAGCGGCACCTTCAACGTACTCGTTAACAGGAATACCAAAGCCCCATTGGGGATTTAAGCTTCTAGCCAGGTTTCCTAGAGACTCAATTGTTCCACCAATCATCTTCAGACATTTTGACTCCAATAAGGACCAATGTTTCCCCACCATTACATACAGACCCTGACGATGTACTGCCAAATAATTCACAACATTTATAAGATCAAGATTTGGCATTTGGCCATTGGAAGCCTCAGCATAGATACTAAGACTATCTTCAGCATCTTTGTTTCCATTAACTTTGATCACTAGAGCAGCAGCCATGGTACCAGCACGTCTAAAGCCCTCACGCGGTTCTGCACCAACAACCTGATTATCCGCATTTTCCCAATCAGGATTGCTTGCAGAGCACATATTAGTGCGTGATTTTTCTGAGCGGTAAAATGTTGGGGCATAATATTCCCTCAACCAGGAAGAAACTGATTCATGTTCACCATACCGAGAATCTGCAGCAAGCCAAATAATGTCCTTTGCCAGCCAGGTAACTTGCGTTAGCAAAGAAAAAACAGAGTATGCTACACCTAATGATAAAGCTTCACCAGCATCAGTCTTCACAGCATTATAAGGAGTCACCATGATAATAGCTTCCTTTCCGTCACCATGTGGAGCCCTAACTATACCAACAGTACTAACAGCTGGACTGACACAGGTAGTGTTATCTTGATCCAGGTCACTGTCATGACTAGAAAAGAAATGAAGAGGATGAAATTTATTTGTCTGAGGATAGAACTGGAACTGACTAACTTCTGCACCCAAGTCTTCCACACGCTTCTTTAGTAGCCTTGGGATTTCACTGAAATGAAAGATTCAGTGAAAAATTAAAATATATTTGGCCAACAAATGGCACGAAGAAAGTGCAAAGAATGATCTTAAAAATCTCAGTTTATCTTTCTATCCAAATACTTTCTCTGTTCATTTTTACTTGACCTGTTTCTTTTATCACACTTGCCAATGCATAACTTTAACGATCAATAACTTTAATTTTCTATAAGTAAAAATTATAAAAATTGTATAATATGATAGTACTTATTGAGACGAATTCAAAAAGATCCAACATGAATATGTTTTTCCTTACATATTATTCACAAAAGACAGTCAAAGGAGGGGTGGTAAATAGTGTAAAAGTCAAAGTGGGTCAAGTAAAAAAGAACGGAGGAAGTATAAGCCTTAGGCCATAGGCCTCACAATAGACTTAATGAAATGCCTTAAAACCTGAAGCAAGAATGACATCAGAAAAGCTTGGCCAAAGGCATTAAGTCATCCATTGCAACTCAATTTACAGAGCAAAGGCTTGGATAGCTTAAGTAAACGGTAAAACTAGACACTTCCAGGTAATACTCAAATCAATTTCAAGCATCTAAGACTTTGCAAATGAGTTCAGAATGTAGGAAGTCATAATAGATGAGACGAATATGAAGTGAAATATAGAGAACACATACATGCCTGCAGTATCACCTTCCAAGCTCAATCTCATTATCTCTGTTACAAGCTTGTCAGCATCTAGTACTTCCTGAGAAGAGAGCATGGGGTTTGCCGAACCTATGAAACACATATAGGTCACATACTATGTAATTACTGAAAAAATTTATTCCCACCAAACCATTCATCCAAAAAAATTAACAGAACAAGTTAAAACCATATAATCTTTAAGAATGTTTACTAGCGCAATATGTTCACATGTACAACGTCATTACTCGTTGATTAATCATATAAGTATAAAGTAACATTTCAACACTAGTAAATTCACTTAAATTTTGCCTAAAGTCAAATCATCCACTATCCCGAATGTACTAATTTCAACTCATTCAATGAAACAGATCAATGTATGCCTTCTGGCAATCATCTCCCGGGGCAAATACCCCATTTGTAGCAACATAATGGGATCCAAAGGGTGTACACAAGGTCCCCAAAATCAAAATTTGCATACTATTAAGTAATTTGAAGAGCACTCTCTACCAAAGATGAGCATTGAACACAATTTACACTCAATCAAAACTAATCGACCCGACTACATCAACAAACAAGATCATCCACATAAACAAAAACCCAATTGAAATAATTTGAGAATTGAGCAAAAACACTAACCTGGCATGAGTGCATTTTCTGATATGTAAGTATTTTTGGCAAGAACAGGCAAGAGTAAAAGTGCAATAACTCCAGCAATACAGCAGATCAAACTAGAAAAATGCAACAAATTGAGACAAATAAAACTGGGGTTTTGTAAAAATTAAAAATTGAGCATTTCCCAGATTCAAAAATCAAAATTAGTAGCAAAATGATCAAGAGTACCTGACAAGAACACGATGAGACATGAGAAGAAGCGCAATGCGCACAAGCGGGCGAGGCTTCTTCTTTGGAGACCCAGATTCTTGTTTAACCTCCATTTCCTCCTTATCAAATTGCTCTCTTCTTCTCTCTCTAGAAAGCTGTTAATTAATCATGGATGACCAGAGATTAGAAGAACAACAGTAACAAGGGATTATTGTGATTATTTTACTTCATTGATGAAATTTCTTCCCCAGCCCTTTCGATTAGCGCAGTCTATGAGAGAATATACCTCGGACTTGTCAAAAAGTGACTCGATTTAAAACTCAACCAGTGTGTACGGCTCGAAAGATGCCTGAGTTGATAATTTGTACTCTTTTAATTTGATAATAACAGTTGATTGTTTTTTCTTTATGTATTGATAATCGTCTTGAAAATTTAATATTTTGAAAAAAGATTTGTATTAGAAGAATTATATTCAATATATTGTACTCTATATGTTACTATGGTTGCTTCAAAGATATTCAACTATTGACTATTTAACAAAAAAAAAATCTTATTTTTCATCAAATTGAAAAACAATACTTCTTCCGTTCTTTTTTTATTGCACCATAGGGTTGAGCACAAGTTTTTTGGTTGTGGAAAAAAAGGATGAGAGAGAAAGGTAAAAATACAAGATTGTCCATATGATGATATATATAAACTAAAAAATCAAGGGTTGAAAAGTAAGGGTACATTTAGTATTTATAGTGTGAACACAAATATTTCTTTTCCTAAATTAGAGATGGTGCAATATTTGTGATAATTCCTTAAAAGGTAAGTGGTGCAATATTATAAATAAATAAAAATTAAAAAAAAATTAAAAAAAAATAAATAAAAAAAACGAAGGAAGTACAATTTTTCAAACTTCAAAATTAAAGCTGTTAAATTGTCCTATGATATGTAATAAATAGTACAATTAAGGACTACTCATCTAATCCAAGAAAACTATAATTTGGTTAGGTAGATTCACACAACATATGGATTGCTAAGGTGGTAAGACTTGTAACATAATACTTGTTGGTCTCGAGTTCAAGTTTTGCTATAAGCATTTTTAAGATGTCAAATTTAAATCATGTTGTAGAGGTGACATGGCATGTTATTTTGATGACTTGGCACATTAATAGAACGTGACACCTATTTTATTTTAAGAACGCCTTTTTAATATATAAAGTTGTGGAGGTGACATGGCATGTTATTTTGATGACTTGGCACATTAATAGAGTTTAAAAGGGTAACACGTGATACATATTCTGTTTTAAGAACGTTTTTTAATATATAAGTATAGATTCAAATTGAATCATTTAAAACCCAATCCAAATACAATTGGAACAAAATTGACTTATCCTATACAAGGTTTCAATTACGCATTGTAAAATTGTAATTTGGGATTAAGTGACTCAACTCACTAAATGTAAAAAATGTAGCTAGGTTAAAATTTGACCTTAGCTCAAATAGGCTCCAAACCCGACAAAGGTAATGATACATCTTGCCTCGATAGATGTTAGTTCCAAAACACACGTCATGCTCGAAACCTTAGATTATTCGATTTGTATATGGCTTGATCAACTAGTTTGACATTAGGTACTAAGCATATCTCATCTTTATTCTCTCACAAGTCTTGATCTCCGAAATATCTATGTATTTTCTCACCACTTTGGCAAGTATGTCCCTTCTCATCCACAAGCTATTTGTTCTCCAAAGAGCGAATCTACGTAGTGATGATATGAAGACTAGGATTTTTGTGAGTTCATTGTTTTAGCTTAACTTTGTCAAAGTTCGGGTTTAATTAGCTCAACTCAAAACTTTAAACAAGTAAACTTGATGAAATTTAACTAAAAATTCTTGTGAGCAAGATCTGATCTAATACATTACTTAAATAAAAGTACATAATTTATAGTTTACATAAATAATACTTCGTACTTCCTAAAAAATCAACATATTAAATACTTATGAAAACCACAAATCGTCAACCAACTAGCTTATACATGAATTATTATGAATATAGCTTAAAATGCTCACTACTCAAGCTTGAGTTTGACCATACACATTTTCACTTTCTTAGTTAATGAGAAAACGCATTACTTTATACTCCCTCCATCCCTTACTATATTATAAATAATTGGGTTAAATTTTTAAAATTTTGACCATAAATTCTTATCAATCTATAAGTGATAAAATAGTCAAGTGTGATCTTGCTGTATTCGTCTCATTGTATATTTTATTAATATCAAGTTTTTATAATTTTTACGCGCATAAAAACGGAGAGTTATACGGTAAAAGCTACACATACAATTGTTGTATGTGGCCCCTACATGTAACTTTAATTTGTCAAGTTTTTATTGGCTAGAATAATGGCTCAAGTTCCATTAAAATTCAATTTATATTTGACTCCTAATTTTCACCCCTCTTTTGATGATGTGTCAAATTATGTAGGGACAACATACAATGTTGTATGTGTATCAGCTCTCGAATTATACCTTTGAAGACGCGTCTTGGAGACCTTAAAAAGTCATATTGGACAAAAATTAAGGGAAACAAAGGGAGTAGTTTTAAAGAGAAAATGTTAAGGCAATGAACACATACTCATATACAACTTTGTACGAGTAAGTTGTAACCGCCTCAATCAACTAGCTGTAGGGTTTTAGGTACTCTAACCGGAATTGCATGAATCATATTCATAAGCACCTAAGCAAGATCTATGCACAACACATAAAGAAACACATAATTATACCTTTGAAGCGTGATTCCACAAGAAATCGACCACAAACGATTAGGAGAATAAAAGCCCCAAGTGTTGCTCCTCTACTTGGTCCATAGGTTAGGATTGAACCTCCACTAATGCTAGTTAGTCGGGCACAAGCACTTCGAGCCACCTTCTACGAAGAAAGGAGGGCGAAACCGACCACGAACACCACCACACCATCACCGTGCACCACCTTGCACCGGACGGCATTACAACTGTACGGATGTGAGGAAGGAAGTGAAGAGAAAGATTGTGTGAGGCTAGGGTTTGGTTGCTCGCTAGTCAATTCACAATTGACTGCCTAAGTCTGTTATATCAAACCCTAGGCAAGACCTCTATTTATACATCACATGTATAATTAGAGTCCAAACCAAGCCCAAAATATTCTCTCTTTAATCCCATATGGTCGGCCACCTTCCATGAGGCCCAATGATGGGGCCTCATTCTTTGTTCAATCCATCACCCTTATGTGTGACCTCATAGAATCCATTCTATTGGGGTTTGGACTATTTGACTAGCCCAAAGATCATTTATCACGTCAAGCAATAGACAATGACGACCCAAAAGAACAAACTTATTATCTCCATAATTTTGATCCATTAATATATCTAGTAATTGCACTTGACGAAGACATAAATCCTTCACTAGCTACTAACCATAAGCATTAGAAGTGTTAAGGACTTAAGGCATTAGGGTTTGTGCTAACAATGAAGTACTAACTACTAGCAATCTAGCATTGATGCCATTGAATGTTTGTTAATTTGTTGGACATAAGAGCCCAATTCTTTGGAAGTAAAAGATGCAAGCCCATTTAGAAAGTAGAAAAGCCCATGTCAAGTCAAAGAAAATCGAAGAAAGCAAACATCAAAAATTTCGTTCGGAGAAGTTCAAAGCAAGAAAGGAATAATTAACACTCATCAAAGTATCAAACCACTTGTTTACTACATCATTTTCTAGGTATTAGTTCTCTTAAGCCATCTAAGCTTACAAGCCCGCACATACAATAATTTTCTTGAGAACAAAAATGTGAAAAAAGTTATAAGTATTAGCAGGTTGCCAAAATCCTATACTAACCTGTTACAAGGTGTTCTTAAGAAAATACTCACTTTTTTCCGTAAAGTTTTTTCATTATTAATATACTAATAAAAATAAATAAAGTAATGTGATTAATTGGTAAGTAATGTGAGTTGGAACATGATGTTGCTTTTTGATAAGAGTTATAGTGTAAAAAAATATCGATCACAAAAAAGTAGTTCAAGTTGGGGTCAAGTAATGGTAATTTCTTAACAAAATTGAATGAATAAAGTAAAAGTGAGAATAACTTCATGGAATGACTCTAGATAGTAATTAAGAGATTTATGAAATAAATGGAGTATATGTGTTATAATGTCATGCGGAACCACTTTCATACACTTAACACGTGTCAAACTGTCACATCATCCACTCAATTATGAACATTTGTTAATGACAATAAAATATTTTTGCATAGAGTTTGAATCGGAGACCAACAAGAAATAAGTTGCAGACTAATTTTTTTGGCACAGACTCCAAAAAAATTTCATAGACAATAATTGTGACTTTAAGTGTAAATTTCGTGACAATATCTCTTACACTGGTCAAATTTATTTTATATTATTTGGTCATCTATTATAAAATTATAATGTTTTGTAGGAGACAAATATAATGACATAACACAATCAATAAATAATTAATGACAAATATAATTATTTCTATCTAATATTTTATCACTAACATTAGTTTCTCATTGTATACCTGTGAAAATTCATAATATATAATTAAAATAATTAATTTTTGACATCATCACATCCTTCACATGTATATAAGGCTAGTATATACGAAGTATAAATCTAGGCAAGTTCTCTACCAATATTGAATCTCACCCTATTGAAAGACAAAAAAAAAACAAAAAATAAAAAAAATGGGGCAATTTATTGTCCAAAAAGAGTACATGCCCTTAAAATCTGATAATGTAAGAACATAGTCTGCTTTACAGTTAATTAACCATAGATGAATGGTAGATGTAGCTCTTCAAACTAGTCAAATGACCAATTAACTCTCCACTTCTCAAATGTTTAACAACTCATCATATTCGTACTCGTACCCACAACATTTCATATATAAACTAGCCTCATAAGTTAATTCTCATATCATGTTTAAATCGGCCTTATAACTTTTAAAAAAAAAAATTAATTGTATGAAATCATCCCTCGCATTTATTGAATATGTGCAATTAACTTCTCATTGTCACTTTGCTTTCTAATGAAATTCCACCATATCCCTTATAGGGATTTTTCATCACCAGAAAAGATATTTTAATCCATTTTTCCATCATTTATAAAAGTTGACAAAGAAACAATATTCACCAATACAATAATTCTTATCATTAAAGTTAATAACTAATTAATTTACATATGTTAATGTAATTAACTAGAGGTAAGTGAATTTTAGGCCAAAAAAAACATGTAGTTACATAAGTTGAAGCTTTTCAAATTTGACACCACTCATTTCAAAAAAAAAAAAAAAAAAAAAAAGTTTGACAAAGGGGAGAATTTGGGTAAATTGTAAATAGAAAGATACTCATATT